CGTTATGTACTGCACAAAATAGCAGGAATTCCGCTGTTGGTTCGTACTACACCCAGCCATCTGAAACAAGCTCGACCCTTGGGAGTGAGCTGGTGTGAACTGCAGGGGTCATCCCGTGACGGGATTCCCGTCCCTTCCATCCATTCCTTTGTCCTGCCCCTTCAGTGCCCATGTCCTGTCTCGAGAATTCCGCCTTCAAGCAAATTCCCCCTTACATCCAGCTCAGTCAAGCATCTGCATGTCAAATTTGCCATTACAAGCTGGCACTTGTCACGTGCACCGACTTACCACTAGTAGAACGCGTACAGCGCCAGCCGCCACAGGAGCAACGTCGAATGGTGTTGCAGAAGGCAAGGCAAACTGAAAGGAGGTTGCACGAGCAATCCGGTGGAGGCATGATCTGTTCGCATTATTGACCTCAACGCGTGGCCAGTGAAGCCTGCATGACGCTCGAACAATCTAGTCTACCGTTCAGAATCAAAGCTGATTAGGATTTGGCAGCCGTGATCTAAGAAGAACCGCCATTTGCCGTCCTCGTTTTCCAAGTTATTGCTCTGGACGGAGAATTTGGCAATACACTGTTGCGTGCAGGCATAGCCATCGTGTTTCAAGCTTCGTTGTCACAGCAAATCTACAGGCATAGCGGGGAAACAAAATTCTATCTTGAGGACCTGTGCACCATGAGGCTCTTTCTTAGTTCTGTCTTGCATATCCCGAAGGCCGCACAGAGGTCGCTGTTAACTTGTGATTCAAGTAACCCTTGGAACCCGTTTTGATCGCGCATGCGACTACAGCCCTTACTTCTCTTGCGCGAGTGGCTACGTGGGTTAGGAAGCTTGATCCCTGCTACCGTTGCGCTTAGGGAGGCTAACCAGTCTATTCTTGCCTTCAGAAAAATCCAGGGAGGGATCGTTTTGTGCCGAGTTTGGGATCGGAGGATGCGTCCCGGGGACTCTACGTCGGTCGAGATTCACCATAGTCAGTGCGAGTGGCTTTTCGTTATTTGTCATTCATGCGCGATGCTCACTACGGGTGCTCACATGATGCGTTCGTTTACCCTTCTTGCAGATGGTGTGGTTCAAAGTCCACCTCGTGTGCCACGGCGTAGGTTCCAGCCCAAAATCTGGGTCAAGCTGACCTTTTTCGTGGGTGCTCTGGTCCTGATTTGTTCGGGAATCCCCGCCATCGTCCTCTGGAGGCTGTCAAAGGCAACATTGACGTAAGAAATACGGGAAAGGCTCAGCATCGTTGCTAGCCTTCGGCAAGAACAGGTGCCCCTCCACAGATGGCTGGTTATTGAAGCTTACGCCCGCTCGAACTAATGTTTGTTATTCGTTGTCGTGCTGTTATCTGGCAGATACTCAGTTACATCACAGGGAATCAAGACACGGTGAAACTGATCGCATCTCGGGTCGTCATTTCGTCTTTGCTTCTCAAGCACATGCAAGGGGAGGTGAATCTCACTAAGAGTAACAGCAAAGAGGGCACCGAGGATCTCAACTCTGCCGTAATGAGTGCAGCTGATGTCATGTCCTTAGGAGCTTACAGCGGTGATGGCGGACTGTTGTTTTCCAGCACGCATCCAGCTGATGTGAAGCCACTGCCGAAACGCTTGCATGGACGGGCTCTGAGTATCAGGAACCGAAACACGTCAGTGTGGTCTGGAATTCCGTACACGGGGTACAATCATACGCTGCTTATCGATGTTGCAGCTCCCGTCTACCAGCAGGTGCATTGATTGATTTGCCCGCTCTATAATCTCGTTTCTATCTGTCACTGTTGGCCAAATTTATGTTTTTGGTTTTTGCCCTTTCAGGAGGTCTTTTGCGGAATAATTGTGGCCATACTCGATGCCAAGAAGTTCAAGCGAATTGTGCAAGATGATACTGGGCTTCAATCCACAGGACAGCTTGTCGTCGCCTATCTCACTGAGAACGAGAACTTGGTCAATTTCATAATTCCTCCAGTGAAGGCTCCTTCTGTTCTGAACACGACATACAAGGGAGTTGCGTTCATGGCAGCAGAAGGCCAAATTGGTTATTTTGAAGGGCTTGACTTCCGTGGAGTTGAAGTCATAGCTTCGTACCGGCCTATTGGTTACGATAACTGGGGTATGCTATGGTTCTTTATTACCTCATGTGAATCTTTTTTCTTACCATGCTCTCTGGTCTTGCTTCTCCAAGGCCTCGTGAATTCCTTTTCTTTTTCTTTACATGCACCATCTTTCATTAACTTGCTCTTCCTTATCATACACTTGGACTTGCAGGTCTGGCAGCCACAGTCGACAAATCAGAAGCATATTCTTCAACCAAGAAGCTTGAAAAGATTATCCTTATCTCAATGTCTTGCATTTTTGTTCTGGGAATCCTGGCAGCATCTTTACTGGCCAAGGTATGACCGCGCCTTTATGTTCGTTTTGTTATATAGATGCCATCATGAGTAGAACTAACGTCTGGTGATGCTGAATCCTGATGTTTTGCAGTATTTCTCTCATCCAATCATGGATCTTGGTGACGCAGCTAGCAAACTTGCACGTGGTGATTACAGTGCAAGAGCCCATGGTCGACGAGACTGCTTGAAGGATGAGATTGATGAGCTTTGCTGTGTCTTCAACTACATGGCTGATCAAATCTCCTGTTCCTACTCAACCTTGGAACAAAAGGTGTGTCATCTTGTTTCCGGCCATTTTTTTGTCCTTCCCGTCCAAACATCTACTGCATTGTTTAAACCTGAGAAGCTTTCTTGGGTCAGGTAGTGGAGCGGACATGGGATCTTGCACTCCTGAACGAGGGTTTGTCTGCTGAAGTGGAAGAAAGGAAGAAGATTGAGTTACAACTTCAGGATGCGAAGGAGCAGGCGGTCTCAGCAGACAAGGCAAAATCAGAGTTCTTGGCAAATATGTCGCATGAAATCAGAACACCCCTGAATGGCATTATTAATTGCACAGAGCTCTGTTTGGATACTCCTCTCAACACCGAACAGGTCGAGTATCTTGAGCTGGTGAGCGTTTCATAAGTATTGCAAGTCTTGCTAGCTGTTGATTGTTGGGCCTGGAATAATCTGTTTTTTCTGTGTGTTGCAGTCTTTGTATTCTGCGAAGCACCTTCTGCGCCTGATTGCCGACATCTTGGACTTTAGCAAGATTGAGGCTGGAAAGATGGACCTGGAAAATATTGAGTTTTCCTTGGAGGACCAAGTATGTTCTTTCTTCTAATTACATGCCATTGTCATTAGAACTGTTTTACAACTCGTTTGTGCGATGTTTTTCTCCACAGATGGAGCATGCCGTATCTGTCCTTGCAAGCAGGGCAAGGAAAAAAGGGATTACGCTTGTATCTTGGCTGAAGTCCTCGAACATGCCTGAAGTTTTTTTGGGTGACCCTGGACGGCTTCTTCAAATCTTCATCAATCTCCTGGGTAAGGTGCTCTTGCATTGAACTCTATATTTTTATTTAAGAAATTACTAATTGCTGCTCGGTGATGTTGTTGCAGGAAATGGTATCAAATTTACTGACAAGGGAGAGGTTCTGCTGTCAGCAACTCTGGTCTCTGCTAATGATCATCTGGCAGAGGTTCTTTTTGCGGTTAAAGACACAGGTTCGTATGTGTTCACTGCTTTTGGTATCTGCATCCAACCAGTGTCCCAAATAGTAACTATCGTGCTAACCTTGTCTACCAGGGATTGGCATACCCCAGGCGAAACAATCACTTATGTTTCAAGCATTCAGTCAGGTCCACGCATCAGACTCAAGGTAAACACCAGCCATTTCGAGCCGTTTCACTTAAAGGGTTTGTCCGTTTTCAACATTTGCTCAAAATGTTCGTTGGGGTGTTTCAGGCTGTATGGAGGGACGGGTCTGGGATTGATGATCTCATCCCGTCTGGCCAATGCCATGGGTGGGCATATGTGGGTTGAGAGCGAAGAAGGTCAAGGATCAACCTTTTTTTTTACTGCCGAGTTCTCCATACCAGCCAAGATTGTCCCATCACCAAAGCTGGTTCCATGCGGTTGTTTGTGCCCAAAATTCAACCATCTACGTGTCTTGGTTGTGGATGGGAATGAGTCGACCAGGAAGTCTATTATTGCGACACTCGAGGTAGGGTTTGTCTAGTAGTACTGATCATTCTGCCTGTGTGCCCCTTTTTTATCAGATTGATAACGTAACTCTTTTGTTTGTGTCTTTGTGTGTGTGTGTGCAGAAATTAGATGTGAAGGCGGATGAAGCAGCTGATGCGATCTCGGCTCTGGAAAGGCTTCAAAGAGCACTGTATGATGAGTTGCCTTACACCCTTCTGATTGTCGATTCGAAAATCGATGATGGGGACAACAGCCCAAGGTCCTCTCCTGTCAACTGCAAGTGGCTGCTTCACCATGTCAAAGAGCAGAGTCTGCTTCATTTAGACAAGTCCGGATGTCGATTTCATAATGGAGCCAACAGGAGCAGTGCTGTGCAGGACATTGAGGACTTTGGTGAGCCACTCACGCCAGATTCACTATTTTCGCGGGAAGGGAACAAGGCGTTTTCAGAAGTTCCTCGCTGCAGGCATCGGCAGCAATCAAAAACAGGGGCTGGCTTTGCGGAATTGAGAGCCAACCGTGAAGTGATGCAGATGCAGGAGTGCAGCCAGGCGTCTCTTTCCAGTTCAACTGATGGGCCGCAGGAATCCGCAAGGGATGAGGTACTTCCTGTCGTGTTATTGACACCTGGGAGTACCGATGACAAGTCTTTGTAAGTGAGCAGTATTTTCTTGCTTTGCATGGTTTCTTGCCATCTTGGTCACTGATTTTTGCCATATGAACAGGTGCAAGGATCTTGGCGTGAAGTTGTATGCTCCCAAGCCTGTGAAACGGGAAGTGCTTGTTCGAAGGGTTAAGCAGGCACAACATCTCCCTCTGCATGTAATGATTTCTTCATGGGCTCTTGTTTTCATTCTCTGGAGGGTTGCCTGTTTCTTTTCCAGATGAGTGAAGTCCAATTGCAATGCTATTGCTGCTGCAGGATCGGCTGTCCACCACAAACTCAGCGATGAGGTGGCTGCAGCAGCTGCAAGTGACAAGAGCTTGAAGGTCTTGGTTGCAGAAGATAACATTGTGAACCAACGGGTGGCGGTGACTCTTCTGCGAAAGTGGGGGCATGAAGCAGTTCTGGCCAATAATGGAGAAGAAGCTGTGAAGAAGGTTCAGACAGATGACTTTGATGTTATATTAATGGATGTAAGTCCTAGAACCTTCTGTTCTTCCTTACATGTGCCATACATTCTTGGTCTCATTGTCTCTGCTTTAATTTATGTCCATTATTCTGCTGTGCACATACAGGTCCAAATGCCAGTTTGTGATGGGCTACAGGCAACCAAGAGGATTCGGGACTACGAGTCTACGAAGAACCACCACACTCCAATCATCGCAGTAATGCTTGCAGATGGTGTTTTGACCAATGTTGATCTATCAGCATGGCACAAGCTAATAAGTGTACGTCCTTTTGCAGATGACTGCACAAGCTCTTATTGGAGATGGAATGAAGTGTATTGATGCAGGGATGGATTCGTACATGAGCAAACCTGTAAGTTACTTCTGATGTTTTGGCCTGTTTAAGTTTTTATTTTTGCTAATCTAATGGGTATGTATCTTCACTGTTGGGGTGGAATATGCTTGCAGCTAAATGCCTCAAAGTTGAAGGACCTGTTGCGGCTCGTATGCCGATCGCACGCTCTTCCAAAGCCAACCAACGAGTCTACCAGGGAATTTTGACGTTGATTAGGTGGTGCATTACTGTCTGCCTGGTTTGTCGCTGTACATGGATGTCTGTTTGTCTGGTTTTGCGGTGCATGCTTCGTGCAGAGCTACTGCTTTATTTGTGTTGAATATAGTTGTAGCCAAAGGCTGTAATGTACCGTAACCATGAGTTGTTAGGGAGAGCAGTCCAAGCTCGATGAAAGGCCATGGCCCAAGTTGATGGGGAGGGAATTCTGTTAGTTTTGGGTTGTGATGAGAGATGTGATTTCGTCAAATTTGTTTTCTTTGCCACTCCTCCCTTTCTCCTCTGCTGTGTGGGCTCAGTGATCCAATGTTGCCACACTTGCAAGTGCACTTCTTTCAAATTTGCAGGCTGTGCTGTGCAGGCCCTTCAACCCTGTGCACCTCGCAATTTGGGTCGCGGGATTTACGGTACAGCCCTTGATTGCCTGGAAGCTTTGCTGATTAGTGACCGACCCATCCATGCAAACTGCAGTAGACCTAACGAAGCCACGCATGAGAAATGCCAATAGATGCCCGCGGATATGTGCGAAAAGCTACCCATAACAGTCATCATGCAACAAACAATGTAACCACTTTCATGGGGGGTACCCTACAATGCTCAGCTCCCTTGGGTAATACCGGATGAGCGTTAAGAACCTAACATTCAAATAACCTATTGCCTGCTTTGCCACCTGTCTGCTTGACAGTGTTTTTAGCTCAAGTGGATTGCTGGCATACACGATCCAGCACCAGACAACACCCATATCGCAGGAATGGGCCAACGCAATTGCTGGTTTTAGTTGGCAAACAGCTATGCTAGAGGGGGCGATAACAAGCGCCTGATGGATGGCACGGTAAAGAATTCAGTTGGCAGTCACTCCAAGTTTGCGGATGATTTCCACCTCATTGTGCCGATTCACTATCAGCAGCAGGCGCCTTGCTATCTGCTGATTCTGGTTGGACCTCTACAGCTGATGTCGACACTACAGCTGCAGCAGCAGATCCACAGCTAGTATCAGCTTCTGTTCCTGCCTGCCCTTCACTATTACCTCCCCGGGTGACTTGCTGCCCTCCTGCTCCACCCGTCTCCCCAGCACCCCTGATTTCTCCTTCTGCACCTGAGATTACCTCGCCAGTTGTTGTCTCTGCTACAGCACCTGCTACTACGGGAACTTCAGTTGCTGTTGTGTCGGCATCCGGGGATTCAGATGTGCTTTCACCTAAAGTAGGGTCAGTCAGTGTGGCTGTTGAAGCCTCTGTGAGTGCAGCAGCTGTGACATCGTCAGATTGCGCTGCAGCAGTTTCTTCGGTTGTTGCCTCTGGCGTGGAAGCTGCAACAAAGGGTGAACTCTCAAAAACGTCCACAGCCTGCTGGGTGCTTCCTGACTCTACACTCGATTCTTGAGTGATTGCTGGTGGGACATCAGCACCAGCACTGCCTGACTCCTCAATGCTTTCTGCTGCAACCCCAGATGATTCGTCAGTGCTGATTGCAGCTACATCCATATCAGTGACAGTAACAGCACCAGAACTTTCACTGCTTCTTGTAACTTCAGATGCTGTTTCTTCAGCTGCGGCAGATACCACAGCCACTTCAGCTTCCCCTGCAGCTGCCCCTTCAATTGCCCCTTCAGCCGACCCTTCTGCTGCCTCTTCAGCTATTACTGCACTACCCTCTCCACCATCACCCGCTGCTGCCATCTGCTGCTGCTCCTCTTGGAACGCCACCCATGCGGTTTGTGCTGCCTCTGATGATGTGAACAGGCTGCTGGGACCGTCCAGCAGCAACGGCCTGGATGCACACGGGGAGAAAGACAAATTGAATGACAGCATTGACAAGGGTGGACACATAAAAACTTGAAGGATGACAGGCAGAAGGGTGTGGTTGGGGTAGATTTGAATCAAGTGTAGACAAGGACAAGTGACATGGAAAGGAGACATGTCCAGACAGAGAGAAACACAGCATGCTCACTTGAAACCGGATTCATCAGTGCCAGTCTGCTCAGCGCCTTCCTCCTCGTCATCTGCAGCGTCATCACCCTCAGGCTTGTCGCTGGACAAAGGCTTGTCAGGCTCCTCTGCTGCAGGCGTGGGCAGCAGCTCAGACTCACCACTGAAACACACAGTAGAGTGCAAACGAGAAAAAAAGGTGCCTTTTTTAGCTAGCAGTCTACCAAACGGTTACATCTCAAAAGGAAAGGTAGACAATGTGATGGGAATGAACATTACTTTCAGAGAGGACACGCAGTCCTCTTGAATGAGAGTATGCTTGCATGAGGGCATGCGAAATGCAGACGAGCATTGATATGGACCAAATGGCTGCAGGCCATGCCACAAAAAAAGCACAAACACAGGGTTAAAGTACCTACCTTGTGGGAGCATTCTCAGTGAGGGTCAATGTCTCGATTTCTTGCTCCGCCTTCACCAGGTCCACGTCATACTGCAAGAGAGGCAAGAGAGGGATACACTGATTGAAGTCTGCTGCCAAGACAACCACTCACACTGTCTGTTCTATGCCCTCAGTACGCCCTTTCTCTAAGTGCAATTAGATAATTGTGGATGTAACCTGCCTGTGCTCACACAACAGCTCGCTTGCTACAACAAGCACAGCTGAAGTAGCACAAAAGCATAAGGAAACAGTCAAGATCGGCACAGCATATTGAAAAACAGGCGACGAAACACAGAAGGCATACCTCAGGTATAACGCTTTAGATAAAGGGGTGGGTAGGGTGAGGGCGGGCAAGGGTATGAGGTGGGGGACAGGAAGAGGTGAGGGAGGAGAGGAGGGGGCAGAGGAGGATAAGGGAGGTGGAGAGGAGCACTTACGGGATCCCTGAGCTCGTGGCCCTGAGAGCAACGGAGACGCGCCACACCAGAGCGAGTAACAGCCCCACATGCAGTTCACAACAGCAAGCACAATCCCCTGGCACAAGGATGAGTAGCTGCTGCGGCTGCCGCTACTGAAGCTGCTGCTGGCTTGCATTGCGTGGCAGATGCAGCAGCAGGTGGTGCTACATCGGAGCAAGAGCTAGAGCGCGGCGAGAGGGAAGAGGGGCAGCAGCGACCATCAAGCAAGCAACAGGCAAACAAGCAAGTGACAGCGCTTCAACAGAAAAAACACAGGCTGAGTTGAGAAAGAGAAGGGAGGACAAGAGTGGGGACCCAACGAAGTGGAGGAAAGAATGACAGGTAAAGTAAAACCAACAAAGCAATGAAATGCAAAGCAAGACGAGAAGAAAGAGGGGATGGGGGGGGGGGGGGGGGGTTGAGAAGGAGTGGGGAAGGGGGGGGAGAGGAGGTGGGGGTGAAGCGAGGGAAGAAGAATAAAGCAGAAGCAAGACAAGGGGAGGAAGCATAGTGGCGATTACTGAGCTGTCTTGAAGCTAAAAAAGGCGAGGCGATATCATACCTCTTCCACGTCGTCTGAGTCAAGCAGTGACTGCCCGTATGCGTATTGCCCATAGCTCCTGTTGGCGTTCGAGCCTCCTGTGAGCGAGATGGTGGAAATGTCAAAGTCCCGGTCGCGGCTGTTGAACTCGTCGTCATCACTGTCGCCTGGCCGGTCGTCCAATGCAGCTGGCCGGCTGGCAAAACGGCGGGAATGGGTGGGATAAGGTGGGGGGGAACAGGGGCATGTGATGAGTTCTGAAGTCGTCCTGCGCTACTGGCTGGCTGGCAAACCGGCGGGAATGTGTGGGATACGGTGGGAGGAGATGGCGGCACGTGGTGAAGATTCATGTAATGCAGAGAGGCTGGCAGCAGTAGCAACTTGTTGCATTATTTAAGTCTGAGAGGGTGGGGAATCAACAGATCTTGCCACGAAACTATGGAACTTTTTGGTTGGACAGAGTGGCAGAACGCAAGGAGAGATGGGGTGCAGACTAAGGCGTACCCGCAAGACCACTGGTAGACATTCTCGAGCAAAAGGCGTTTTCTGAGAACGTTCTTCTGCCAATCCGCCCATCGTGGATTCGCCTGCAAAGGAAACGGGGGAGGCGGGAATCGGGAGAAGGGGGAGAGAGGAGGGGGGGAGGAAGGGGGGGGGGGGGTTGGTTGGAGCAGGGCAGGGCAGGTCGTTAATGGGGAGGACAAGACACGGATCACAAAATACAAAGCTGCTTGCGAATCTATCAACGCTAGCTACTGCGAAGGTAGTCAGCCATATAGTACACAGTCAAAGCTTTAAAGCACTTTCCTCAACATATTGTTGTAATTGAAGGGCCTCCCATTACTCTCACAACCAGCAGGATACACAGCGCCACTATCCCAGCCTTACCCCTTCACATCCTGGTTCTCTGAACGTGCTTTTGTAATGGTAATGTCAACACGTGACCCTTCAGTTCCTGCTCACTTTAGCGTGTTGTTTCAATGCTAACGCCTGAATGTGCACATACACGACATGCATGCACGCGCCCACATGGATCCCCACCTGATGCATGCACCCGAAGGGTCATTCATCACATGCTCATGCGCACATGCCTGAACGTGAGCCTCGATCTGAGAGTTTGACGCTGCCAACTGGCAGATCCTGTTGGCTATTCTCGTCAGATGCCCCATGTACCCGCTCCGAGCAGGCACTCTCGCTGACGCAGCTCTTGGCTGCAGCCAGCCACACAGACGCAAGGCAACGCTTGTAAGAGAAAAAAAGAACAACACGCAAGGGAAACGCTTACGCCCAAGAGGCGAGCAACAACGGCAGGCTAACATGGGAGTGAGGGGGCGGTAATGCGTACCTCCGGGCGTGAATCTGGCGCATGGGGGTCGTCATAGGCGGTCATGATTCGGTTGAGCATGTCGCACTCCACGAAAAGGTGATCCAGCAGCAACGAGCTTCCACTCTCCAGAATGGCCATGACCATCCTCTCCACGTGGTGGTGCAGAAAGTTGTTGAAGTGAAATCTGGAAATAGGAAGTGAGCAATAACGCAGATCGCAAGTCATGGCAGGTAAAACAAGCAGAAACTCAGTAAGTTTTAGATGGAGAGAGACAAAAACGTGAACGATTACGGTGCCATGTAAGCATGACAACGACAGGAAATGGGGAAACGGGGGAAAGAGGGGGGGAGGGGGTGGGGGAAGAGGGGAGGGTGGGGGTGACATCAATTTGGGGAAAATGTGCACCTGAAAAAGAGATCCAAACATGTGCGCACGCCGCCTAGCCTCACAAGCTCCAGGCGCACAAGCTCGCTGTTGGTGCCAAGAAGCACTCCAATGAACTCCACAATCTGTCGAGGCAATAAGCAGGTGAAGAAATCATGAATAAAGGAGACGACAAGCAGGGGATACCAACAGGAGGAAATAAAATACGCTTCAAGCTGGCTTTGATCCCTGTACCTTGAGACGGTGAATGCCAAGCGGCGGCCGTAGCTCTCCATAGGTTGTTGGGAGGACCTTGTCGTCGTTTGAAAGGTCTAGAATGCCAATCAACTCGCCTGAAACGGAAACAGGACAAAATTGCGTACGAGACACGAGCGAGGGGAATGAACACCCAATAACCATCTCTAAACGAATAAAGCTCTAACACTGAAGGACACGAGATGCAACATTGACTGTTTGGCTCCAGCTGCTTACCCAGTCGCTGAACCATCCCTTCAACGGTCTCCACAGAGATCACTTGCTGCTGCTGCTGGTACTGCTGGGTCTGCAGCTGATATTGTAGCTGGTTGCGCATGACGCCGGGAGGCGGTGCACGCTTTGGGTCGAGTAACGTGATGCAAACGGACAGGGAGTTGATGACGGATGTCATCGATCTCGGGCCTTCCAGCACATGCTCGAAAAACTTCCCAATGTACCTGAACACACAAATCACACATTCCCAACGTACCTAAGTAAAAGGATATTTCTTTCTCAATTTATTAATAAATAAATAAATATAAACGAATGCTCACTTGGGTGTTGACAACTGAGCGGCCAATGCGGATGGAGCTGTTCTTGCGATGGCTGACAGACACTCGGCCGCGTTCGCATGAACATCTGACGAGCTCTGCGATACAGAACGAAAGAGGCACAGGATGTTCGAGATTCGCGGACGGAAATTTTATTTGCGAAAATAAGTGAATGTAACGGAGAGGAAAACTGGATGTAACGCTACCTGAGCACTAAGCTGCGACAGCAATGTATCCAGTAGGCTCGTCTCAGCGAGCCATTCCAGCTTGTCGGAATGGTACATCATGATCTGGTCGTCTGCTCCCACAAGCTTCATCACGACCTGCTCAGTACGCAATGCACACGCCGTCATACCAATATCCCCGACATGAACAGAGAAATTGAAAGTTGCAGATTCTCCTGTACAAAAAAGCGGTAATTCGCGTCGGCTCAAATTCTCCCATACGAATACGTACCTCCATGACGGATGTGATCCCAATCAGTCGAATCAGGTTATCCAGAACCTCTGGGTGCCTCTGGAAAATAGCAAACATTCGTTAGCAAACAAATAAAACAACGGCAAGCACGGCATTCGTTAGCAAACAATTAAATCATGAAGCGAGGGAAAACAATAACTAAAAAATGTGCCACGCACCTGAAGGTATGCCATCACTTCTGGAGTTTTTCGGATAAGGAGCGAAACAGCCACCTGACGAAGAAACAAGGAGTTATTAATACAACGGCAGTCGAACGCATAATATACAAAGCAATTTGCAATGCATGCTGGTCTCCATAAAGCTTATGCGCATACCTTGCTGAAGTACCCTGCAAGAAGGTTCGAGTGCGGACGATCTGGATTTGTGAAGGAGAAAAGCAGATCCATAATCTGCATTCAATCAAAACGGTAACTTCAGCGCTTATTCGCCGAGCAGCTACATCCTCATGGATGTAAGTAACAATTTCCTACTTATCCGACATTTGAGCGATAAATACCTCTTCTTCCTCGACCACGGTCGTTAATATCTGATCAATGTCGCATGTAAAGACTTCGCACGAGATAAACGGGAATCTGCAAGCAAATCAGACGATCGCCTGAGTACCCTCAATTCCACCCTAAGCTAAGAACGGATGTTGCTGCGCATACTTGAATGTCCGCTTAGCATCTCCATCGTCGGGAGGTGCCTCCACCACATATCGGATCATCTTCTCGACTTGCGGCTTCCCTTTGAGGCTGAAAACAGGGATGTCCCGGGAAACCTAAGGTGAGAAACGTTGCGCCATCGCATCACAGCTAGCCATAGTTATCGATTATAATACATACAAGTTCACAAGCCGGTTGTTCAGAGACTTGCATTCCTGAATAAGATCGTCCTCGTCCAGTAGCTCCTCAAGGGTATACTGATCTCTGTCAAGAATTAAATCAACCTGGAAATACGAAAATAAAACTAGCACACCCATCAGATCCTGCTAGTAACGAGGCTAAAACTGCGATCACGAGAAATGGCTAGGGACTGACCGGTGAGGTTGCCGCGAGGCCCGCTACTCGCCAAAACATGTTGACCAACGAGATGGCAAACCTAACTTAAGGGAATCTGCAGAAACGCCTACCCCTCGGAAAAAAAACTAATGCAAATGGTTTCTACTTCTTCCGCCTTAGGTGTTACCACTACGAACTCGTATTCGCTAGCTCAGGCTTCCAGCTTGCTCGAGTTGAAACCCCTAACCCAGAGGTACGTCCTAAGGATGCTAGGAGTGGATGGACGGCTTGATTGGAGCGGAAACCACCCCTGCAGGAACACCAGCAGCAAGCGGGGCAGTGCGGAAAGCTCACAGCCAGATGACACATCTCACCCTCTCACCGCAACTCTCTGGGGGCTGGGAAGGATTGTCCCTTGAAGGCCGTTTGATGCGAGATTTCTTGTGGTATAACGGTTTATTTGCATTCCATCGCGGTTAGGTAGGGTTGGTTCTTATTTGCCCCCTCAAGACTAGCACGGGACCTTGTAAAGAGGTCACGGCAAGGCGAGGCCCCGCTTCCAGCCTTCCAGCCTGCCACACCCAACTGCCAACGCAGCCAAGGGCGGACGTACCGAGTGTGCCGCTATCACGGACCAAAGTGCTGGTTTGGGCGAGGTTCGTTGCAGGTAAGGGAGACCCAAAGGTTTGGGAAAAACGCCAAACGGAGAGGTACGACATGAACTTTTCCCGCCATGCGAGAAGACGAAGCTCCCGTATTGGTGGTTTGCTCCTAGTTCAGCAACATGCTCGGAATGCCGGATATGTTACAAGAGGGAAAAGCCCAGGTCATTCCACACCTCCTTTGTTTTGACCTAGCCGCACAAGCAGCTTCTCGCACTATTGGTTCCCGAGCCTCCGGTCACCAAACCAGCGCCACGGTTCCCTCACCACATCGCACGCCAACAACGGCTCTCACCACCAGCCCGTGCACTTTGTGGGACAAGGATGCGTTATTGCATGTTACGAATAATGCCTTAGCTGGTCTAAGTACAAATTCAAATGCATAAGTGAAGGCCCACAATAAATGCAGATATCATCATTTTACGAGCAGGTGTATTCAAGGACAGGGTACGAATACTTCTGTAATCGAACCTTAAAAAATGAAACAACAAAGTGGTAACCCCTTCTCAAAACCAAGCGGAACTGCTCCTATGCCGAATCTGCAGGTGGCAAAACTGCCACCAGGTTACGGTCACCGTACACATTATCGATGCGACCTGTAGTGGGCCAGAACTTGGCAGCTCGCACCCAGGGAGCAGGGAAGGCTGCTTGCTCGCGTGGGTAGGGCTTGGTCCACTCGTCAGCAATCACCACAGAGGCGGGGTGGGGGGCGTTCTTGAGCGTGTTGTTGGCCTTGTCTGCCTTCCCATCCTCAATGGCTCGGATCTCCTCCCGGATTGCAATCATTGCATCGCAGAAACGGTCCAGCTCGGCCTGAAGAACGTGGGTGATAGGCATAAGTGTGGAAAAAGGGTAAGGGAAGGACACAGGGGACAGGGGCAGGGGAACAACGGAAGGGTAAGGGTGGAAGTAGAGTTAAATAGGAACATGAATGCATGTGTGAGCAGTGCCATTGCGCCCCTACTTGTCAAACCAGACTATACAAGCGTCATCTCATAAACTCAGAGCAGATTTTCAACCATGAAAGCATGCATGAAAAAGGCAGTAGCATGTATTTACCGACATGAGAATCCCCCTTTGGCAACAGAACACCCTCAACTCCACACACCAACTCACCTTGCTCTCAGACTCGGTGGGTTCGATCATGAGAGTGCCGGACATGGGCCACGACATGGTGGGTGCATGGAAGCCATAGTCCATCAGCCTCTGGCCTACACTACCCCTCACCACCCACGTAGCCTCGCCCTCTTCTCATCATCAGCTCACCTTGCTCTCGGACTCGGTGGGTTCAATCATAAGGGTGCCGGGCACGGGCCATGACATGGTGGGAGCATGGAAGCCATAGTCCATCAGCCTCTTGGCCACATCCTCTGGCTCGATGTGCGCCGTGCCCTGGTGAAGGGAATAGGGGAATACACGGGTTTGAGATATCAGTATTGTTGATTTAGTCTGGGGCAAGTACTGAGGTCTACCTAGCTAGGGGTCCATCAGTCGATTCGCCACATCCTCTGGATCAATGTGTGCCGCGCCCTGGTGGAGGGAGTACAGTGGGTTGAAATCATATTCCTTCATGAAGCTACACAAGCCATAGTCCATCAGCCTCTTGGCCACGTCCTCCGGCTCGATGTGTGCTGTGCCCTGGTGGAGGGATTAACATGGGATGAAATCCGGATTGCTTCTGTATCCAGGTGACTTTTGAGTCGACTCAAAAGTCGGCTCGATGTGTGCTGTGCCCTGGTGGAGGGATTAACATGGGATGAAATGCGGATTGCTTCTGTATCTATGGCAAGGACCGAGGTCACTCTAGCAATGACTGAGGTCACCCCTGCCGAAAAAAAGAGATAACAAGGATTGGAAATGAAAGGACCGATTTGTTCACCACAAGGGAGAAAGATGGAGTTTCCACCTGCTGTTTCACCTGGTGTTTCACCTGAGACCCACCTTGAATCCCCTGAGGTCGATAATGAACTCGTGAGCGCAGGTGCCATTAGCTCCCCTGAACAGCACTGGGTAGTGGTTCTGCAGGAAGGGTTGGGGGAGACAGAGAGATGGATGGAAGAAGACGTGAGGAGGAGAAGGACAAGGGCTCCAAACAGCCGGTGTGGTTGGTGCCCCTGAACAGCACCAGGAAGTGGTTTAAGAGGTACGCTGCACCAGGAAGTGGCATACACCCACATTATGGCGTTGTACATGAGGAGATGGGCAGGATGAGCTGACAGACCCCTATAGGCAGCTAGCTTTCAAGATGTCCCAACTTGAAACCATCCCACCCACCTCGAGCCTCTTGGCCATGTAGTTGGCGTTCAAGATGGCGAGTCTTGAAGCGTCAGTGAGTCCTTGGGCGCCCATCATGGCGATGTACATGAAGGAGATGGGCAGGATGAGCGCGGAGCCCCAGGGGGCAGCAGCAATGGCGCCCATCTGCTTGCCGACTGAGCCGGGAGGGGGAGGGGGGATGCCGCCAGTTGGGACCTGGTGGGTGGGAATGGTTGGAGTGGGGTGGGGAGGGGTGGTGAGGAATAACATGAGTTGGTATGAGGTGGATGGTGGAGATGGGCAGGATGAGCGCAGAGCCCCAGGGAGCAGCAGCAATGGCGCCCATCTGCTTGCCCACTGAGCCGGGAGGAGGAGGGGGGATGCCTCCAGTCGGGACCTGATGAATGGGGTGGGGTGGGGAGGGGTGGTGAGGTACAGTGAGTCATAGTGATATACACGAAGGAGATGGGCAGGATGAGCGCAGAGCCCCAGCGAGCAGCAGCAATGGCGCCCATCTGCTTGCCCACTGAGCCGGGAGGAGGAGGGGGGATGCCTCCAGTCGGGACCTGATGGGTGGGGTGGGGTGGGGCAGGTGGGTATGAGATGGCGGAGGAGGGGGGAGAATGGGCAAGAGGGCAGGAGGTGAGCACAGAGCCCCAGGGAGAAGCGGCAATGGCGCCCGGCTGCTTGACATTGTTTTTTTTTCAGTATTCTAAAGAAAGAAGTTTGGCAATGGCGCCCATATGATTGCCCACAGACATGCAGGGAACGCGGAGGAGGGGGGGATGAATGCAGAACAGGGGTTAGGCGATAAAGGACTAGGAAGAAAAGGCAGATAGATCAACACAGAGTGAGGGGGGAACTGGGAAACTCACCACAGGGTGGGAGGGCAGGAAGGGGGCGAGGTGTGCCTTGACGCCAATGGGGCCCATGCCGGGACCACCGCCTCCGTGGGGAATGCAGAAGGTCTTGTGCAGATTGAGATGGCACACGTCCGCTCCTATGTGGCCCGGGCTGGTGAGACCGACCTGCAGCGGTGGAAGGGGAGAATAATGGGAGAGAGGAGGAGCACACGCGGGTCAGCACGGGTCTTGTGCAGGTTGAGATGGCACACGTCCGCCCCTATGTGGCCCGGGCTGGTGAGGCCGACCTGGAGGGACATAAAGAACAAAGATGTGTTCGGGTCCGGGGGGGAAGGACGGGGGGAGGGGAGGAGAATAGGTGGAAAAGGTTCAGCAAGTGGGTTGTCCATGCACGCGACACAAGACTGTGAAGGACCGGTCTAGATAGTTGATGTTCCTATCCTACCAGTGATTTCAGGTTAGCACTATCCGCTACACTGCGTAAAATCAACTCCCTGTTCAAGACTCTTAGGGTGCATTCCTGGCTTCGGGTCTTCCCGTGTTTGGGTCTTCCGAACATTTGGGACCACTGAAAGTTTCCGAGTCGGATAACCCAAAGTCAAATCGCAAATCGCGCGCCCAGCCAAAATTTAATTCGGATGACCCGAAGTGCTGATGACCCGAAGTGCAGGAATGCACCTTTAACTGTGCGTTCATGGTGGCGCCATCCATGTACACTTGGCCGCGGTTGGCGTGGATGATGCAATGGGTCACAGTCACTATTGATCCGCCAATAAGCATGTGTGCATGTAGACACGGTGCTCACGTGTGTGTTCATTGCACTGCACTGCCGTGCTCACCTGTGCGTTCATGTTGGCGCCATCCATGTACACTTGGCCACCGTTGGCGTGGATGATGCGGCAAATCTCGTCAACACCCTCCTCGTACACTCCGTGGGTCGATGGGTACGTGATCTGCAAACACGTAGGGCCATATGCACGTGGTCATGCACATGGGAAAGGGGGAAAGAACTTAAAAGGGCTGAGAGAAAAAGAGTGGGACTGACTGAAAAGGAGAGAACTAAGGAGGGGAGCGGAGGGGAAGGAAGGAGTGAGACCGGGGAGGAGGGAGGGGGGCCAAGGGGGAGTAGAGGAGGAGAGAAGAGCAGGCATAAGCAGCTAGATCCCACACAGCCAGCTTGCAAGCCCCCCACTCACCATGAGGGCGGCGAGGTCGTCCTTGTGCTTCTCAGCGGCCGTCGTCAGCTCAGCAATGTTCGCGTTGCCCTTGTCGTCGGTGGGGTGCCCAGTTCCTGTTGCCCACTTCAACCCCCCCTTTCCCACACACAAACTCACCATGAGGGCAGCGAGGTCGTCCTTGTGCTTCTCAGCGGCTGCCTTCAGCTCAGCAATGTTGACGTTGCCCTTGTTGTCAGTGCCGACAGCCACCGTCTTCGTGCCTCAGAGTGCCTTAAGGTATTTTACCCCAGCAACGAGGGACACATTACCCTGACCTGGCTACAAGCCCCCCCACACACTCACCATGAGGGCAGCGAGGTCGTCCTTGTGCTTCTCAGCAGCGGCCTTGAGCTCAGCGATGTTGACGTTGCCCTTGTCGTCAGTGCCCACGGCCACGATCTTCATGCCACACATGGCGGCACTCGCCGGGTTGGTGCCGTGAGCCGACACGGGGATGATGCACACATTGCGATGGTGGTCGCCACGGGACTGCGAGGGGTTGAGGGGGAAAAGGGGGAAGGGAGGGGAGGGGAGGGGAGGGGCAGGGAGGGGAGGGGAGGAAAGCAGTGTCAATACCTACGTCTTTTAGTCTGGGAGGGGGTGGGAGGTGGGTTCTGGAAGGAGGGAGGGAAGGGAGGAAGGAGAGGGGTTGACGTTGCCCTTGTCGTCAGTGCCCACGACCACGATCTTCATGCCACACATGGCGGCACTCGCCGGGTTGGTGCCGTGAGCCGACACGGGGATGATGCACACATTGCGATGGTGGTCGCCACGGGACTGCAGTGCAAGAGATGAGAGGTGGGTGTCGAGTCGAGATAGGTGGGAACAGACGGGTCAGGAGTGGAGAGGGGCAAAAGAAAGCAGTGGGCACTAGAATGATGCACACACTGCTTGTGGTTGAGACGCCAGGGGACTGGGGGAGCTAGAGAAAACGGACATGACAGATGGAGGAAGAAGAGTGTGGGCGGGTGTAGACATGACAGATGTACTCCCCCAGCAGTACATTTATTACTACTAGTACCCGTAAGCCTCTACCTGGTGGTATGCGCGGATGGCCATGAGACCCGCGTACTCGCCAGCAGCACCCGCGTTGGGCTGCAGGGAGACGGAGTCGAAGCCTGTGATCTCTGCCAGCATGGCTCCCAGGTCGTTGAACATCTCCTGGGGTGGTGAAGGGGAGGGGAGTGGGGTTGGGTGTGGATGAGTGCGGTTGAGTGAGACTGTATGACAGCTGCTATGCGTTTCAGTCAAACGCCAGTGACCTCCACCAGCATGGCTCCCAGGTCGTTGAACATCTCCTGTGGTGGTGAGAGGTGGTGAAGGGCGGTGAGGGGGGGTGAGGGGTGGAAGTGATCAGGGCAGATTGAGGGGGTTGAGCAGTGCGCGAATGGGTGGAGGAGCAGAACTGCACAGCGAGCAGAACCACCCACGTTGGGCTGCAGGGAAACGGTTTTATATTGGCGAAATCGGGCTGTGTGGTGGGGAGGGGATCATCTCACCTGTGGCGTTGAGCCCCAATCCCAGCAGAAGAGGCCTCAGAACCACAACAGAAGGCATTCAGAGGTTCAGGCCTGCACCAAAAATGGAGAATGGCTTGTGTACCTGGTAACCGTTGGTCTGGTCAAGGGGTGCGAAGGGGTGGATGTTGGCAAGCTCAGGCCATGTGATGGGGATCATCTCGGCCGTGGCGTTGAGCTTCATGGTGCAGGAGCCCAGGGCGATCATGGAGTGCACGAGCTTCATGGTGCACGAGCCCCGCACAAGAGGCCTCAGAACCACAAGAGAGCGCATTCAGACGTAATTTTCCCAAAGCAGGAGAGAGAAAGACATACCTGGTAGCCGTTGGTCTGGTCGAGGGGTGCGAAGGGGTGAATGTTGGCGAGCTCGGGCCATGTGATGGGGATCATCTCGGCCGTGGCGTTGAGCTTCATGGTGCAGGAGCCCAGGGCGATCATGGAGTGCACGAGCGACAGGTCCTTGGCCTGCAGGCGGTGCAGGTAGCGCAGCAGCTCGTGCTCTGAATGGTAGCTGTGGGGTGGGGGGAAGGAGGGGGAGAAGGCAAAGGAAAGCAGGCACATGGGAGTTGAGCGGGAATTCCAGGAGCGAGTGGGGAGTGGTGCAGGGAACGCATTGTAGGGCGATCATGGAGTGCACGAGCGACAGGTCCTTGGCCTGCAGGCGGTGCAGGTAGCGCAGCAGCTCGTGCTACGAGTGGTAGCTGTGGGGTGGGGGGAGGGAGGGGGAGAAGGCAAAGGAAAGCAGGCACATGGGAGTTGAGCGGGGATTCCAGGAGCGAGTGGGGAGTGGTGGTGCAGGGAACGCATTGTAGGGCGATCGTGGAGTGCACGAGCAACAGGTCCTTCGCCTGCAGGCGGTGCAGGTAGCGCAGCAGCTCGTGCTCTGAGTGGTAGCTGGGAAAAGGGAGGGGATTGGAAGGCACAAGAAGCTTGAGGGGAGGGACGAATGGACGCACAGCATTACGTGGCTTCAACGCAGCAGCACGAGAGTATGGAGAAGGGGCGGGATGTGGGGTGATTGGACGCAGAGGAGGGAGCAGAGGGAGCAGAGGTGGCACTTCATAAGGGTCTCTGGTCATGCATCATGCTCAAGCGGGAAAAACTGGGTGGGCGAGAGATGCATGGTAATTCTTTTAAGACTTGGGCATAGAGGTCTTGATGTGTCATTGGAGTACGCTACCCATCTCGTCACCACGCACTGGGGTGGGTGTGGAAACTGATGCCCTGCACGGCACATTGGTCAGGGATTCTGATTTTTTTATGCGCCCTCAAAACGCGCTGCTCTTTTCTAGAGCTTTGCTTTTCTGGTAAGCGGTACACTCAAGCGTTGAAGATGGTGTGAGTGAGGAAGGCGCTCCCCCTCTCCAGCGACTTGGGCAGAGCTTCTGAAATCTGTTTAACATGAGCGTCTTAAAAGGAGGCCTTCGTTGTACTCACGCGTTGAAGATGGGGTGAGTGAGGAAGGCGCTCTCTCTCTCCATCGACTTGGGCAGAGCTGCGTCCACCTGTGGTGCAATGGACTCCGCTGTGAAGGCAGGCTGGAGAGAGGGGGATCGGGGGACGGGGTGGATCATGGCGCAACAGAGAAACACATCGGATGAGAAGTCATTTGATGAAACACACCGTTAGGGCACGAATGAGGTCATGGCCATGACGGAAGGACGTGCAATAGAGTTTGGTGCAATGGAGTTCGGTGCAATGGAGTTTGGTGCAATGGAGTTAGGTGTGAATTCGCGGTAGGGAGGGGGTCAACGGGGAGTGGGCGGGAAGGGGGGGGGGTGGTGGCATGAAGAACCACGTCAGAGGACAGTTACGAAAGCGAAAAACGTGATGCGATGGGACGTGATAAACTTGGCCCAGAATACGTTCGATGCCTGAAAGAACGTTTTTTAACTCGTTGTTCCGGCCCAGCCCCATCACCCATGCCCCATGTCCCATGCCCTGTGCCCCGTGCTCCATGCCCCGTGCCCCGTGCCCCGTGCCGTGCCCCGTGCCCCGTGCCGTGCCCCGTGCCCCGGGCCCCGCGCCCCGCGCCCTATGCCCAATGTCCCACGCCACCCTCGCTCGCTTGTCCCAAGCCCATTGCGCCTTACCTGCTTGCCAGCCACGGCCTTCAAGAGCGCGTCCACGTCAGCAATGGTGCTGGTCTCATCGAACGCAACAGTGATCTGTCATTAGAAAGAGAAACAATGGGGTGAGAAAGGGAGAAGGTGTGGGGCACAGTACGCGCGTGATGATTTCCTTCTGCTACACCTGTTCGCAACCTTCCTCGTCCTCCATCGATCTCGATCCCATCCATATTCAATTGTCTTCCATTATCCCTACTCTCGATTCAAGTCGCTCCGAAACTCCCACTTCCTCACCGCCCCAGCATCCCATCGCCGTGCTAGCACCCCCTCCCTTTTCCATTCCTTCCCTGTTCGCTGGACCGTCAACATCCTCCTCTTCTCCTCACCGTGTCAGCGTCCAGAACGCGCAGGGTGAGCAGCCACGCGGTGGTCGATGCCTTTGAGACCAACATCTACTTTACTCCCCAAATCCATTCTACTTTTCTCTTTCCGCTCACCGTGCCAGCGTCCAGCACGCGCAGGTTCATCCCCTCCTTCACCGCAGCAGCCGCCACGTCAGCAGCCTTGCCGCCGCCAACGGTCACCTTCACGGTGTCGAAGAACGGCTCCTTGGCGACGGTGCCGGCGCCCGCCTTCTCCACGCCCTTGGCGAAGACCGCCGCGAGCCCGTGCACGCGGTTCGCGATGTCCTTGAGGCCTGCGGGGCCGTGATACACGGCGTACATCGCGGCCATGTTGGCGAGGAGAGCCTGAGAGAGGACGACGGAGAACGGAAGTGGAGGGGAAGGTCGAGAAGGACGAGAAGGACGAGAGGGACGAGAGGGAAGAGAAGGAAGAGAAGATTGTTGGGTCGACTCTGAGAATCACACTGAGGCCTTCGCGCTAGTGACACGGCGTACACGGTGGGCATGTTGATCAGAGTCGATCAACACCTGACTGATTGTCGGAATGTAGATGGATGTTAACACGTATTCCCTGAACATTAGGTATTTGTGAACACGCAATCTTTGGAATAAAAATGCTTGTCAACACGTGATCCCTAACCATTAAATGCAATTTATACCTGAATCCGCATTCATCGCTGCATTCCTTCCGTACCTGCGCCGTGCAGATGTTGCTGGTGGCCTTGTCTCGCCTGATGTGCTGCTCCCTCGTCTGCATTGCCATACGCAGAGCTGGATTCCCCTGCGCGTCAATGCTCACTCCGATAATCCTCCCGGGCATCAGCCGCTTATACTCCGCTGACGTGGCAAGGAACGCCGCGTGGGGACCACCATACCCCATCGGCACGCCGAACCTCTGCGCCGAACCAACAACCATGTCCGCGCCAAGCTCGCCGGGCGGCCGGACGACGGTCAACGCGAGGAGATCCGTCGCCATGACGACCTTCGCGCCGTTCTCGTGAGCCTTGACGACGAAATCGGAATAGTCGATGAGGGTGCCGTCTGTCGCAGGGTACTGCACGAGCACACCGCAGACGTCCTTCTTGGAGTAATCAAACTTAGTGTGGTCGCCGACGACGGCTTCAATCCCAAGCCCATCAGCGCGTGTCAGACACACGTCGATGGTCTGCGGGTGGCACAGGTTGGAAATGTAAAATTTGGTCTTCTTCCCTCGGCTGATGTTGAGACACATGGCCATGGCTTCGGCCGCTGCGGTTCCCTCGTCGAGAAGCGACGCGTTGGACATCGGCATTGCCGTGAGGTCGGTAATTAAGGTCTGGAAGTTCAGGAGAGATTCCAGGCGTCCCTGGGCGATTTCCGCCTGGTACGGAGTGTACTGGGTGTACCAGCCGGGGTTCTCGAGCAGGTTACGGAGAATGACCGGCGGGACAATGGTTCCGTGGTAACCCATGCCGATGAATGACTTGAGGACCTTGTTCTTAGAAGCCATGTCTTTAAAGCGCTCGAGCATCTCGTTCTCGGGGAATCCCTCCGTGTACTTCCCCAGCTGCATCGGCTGGCGTCTGATGTCCTTCGGAACGGTCGCAGTGACGAGAGCATCGACGGATTCGAAGCCGCAGAACTCGGCCATGGCTTGGGCCTCTGGAGGGGTGATGCTGTTGTGACGGCGGGGGAAAGTGTCGCTAGGCTTCAATGCGTCGACGGAGATGGAACGGAACCCTTGAGCGGCATTCCTGGCACGAATCTCGGCCGCCATGCCGGTGGAGCGAGCGGAGAAAGCTCCCAGCATGCTGGGATGGCCATGGCGAGCGGGAGCGTCGGCGAGGGAGGTGAGAGGCCGGGAGTGGTTCACGACTGGCCGTGAGCCGGTGTTGCTAATAACGACTCCCAGACTCCGCACGCAGCGCATCCATTGCTGTCTGCTGGATGCAGCCATTACGGCAATATTATATCACTAAATTGAAGAAATGCACAACGCTTCGGCCGGCCTGGTCAATCCTTTCTCTCCAACACAATTAGGGAGAAAAAGAGATCACTCCTGATGAATTCCGACGCCAATCCTGCTCTTCAGCACAGAATTTATCCAGTGCACTCCAGAATTGCAGAGGTAGCAAGCAGGCAAGCTAGAATCCAGGGGCCCACGGACCAGGATGCTCTTGGGAATTGTGCGAATGTGCTGGTGACCAACTCTTCGCAGCGTGGGCTGAAATTGGTAATAGCGTTGGAAAGGGAATTGATTTCAGGCCTGGTTTGTACCTGGTTCGTTCCTAGGGAGGTCTCAGAGTCAGCCACAAGTAAAGCGGCCGAGCCAGCCTCCTGGCACCGCACCTCCTCGAGGCTCGGTTTCGCGCCAAAACTTCGTGCAAGAACTTGGTCATGGCAAGCAACAAACAAGGCCCGGTTCGCAAAACGTCACTTCTGCTGAAGGTATGGAGTCAGAGGGAGGCTTGGCGTCCACAAGTCATGCCACGTCAAGTGAGATGTGGCCTGAGATTTACGTAGATTGGCTGAGTGTCCCATTTGGGTCACGGTGGCTGACGTGGAATAATTTGAAATGCACGCACCAAGTCATCCACTATTACAGTCCGCTTATTGGCAAGATGCAGGGTTGCTATGCACACGATGATTCAATACACGAGTGAACAATGACCTTCATTCCTTTCACAATGACCTTCATTCCACATTTAAGACTGTTATTTTTTGTATGAGCTGCTATAGTGTATCTTGCATTGCCAAGAAAAAATAAACATTCATTCCACATTGCATCATACATATCATCTTTAGTACTCTTCCTGTACCCGATAACTCTACGTGTCAACACTGATTGAATCATCAGACATAGGATGATGAAATATAAACTGAAATTTCTACACACGTCATGCTTGTTGAGAGATGCCTTGCGTATCTGCAGCTAACAGGGTATGTGTTGGGCAAGAATACATTCTTGTGAGGTGCTCTTTCGTCCCATAATAAACTACAGCAGCGGCAGATACTGCCCTTTTGAGAAAAGGGACTATGGCCTCAAGCCAAACGTGGGTTATGATAGCAATCATAAGGCCTGCAAAGAAACATGACAGGAGAAAGTCAGCAACATCCATATACACGCTTCTTTCAAACAGATGGGCTTCGGATGTAGAAAGTCAGCATCATCCATATAAACGCTTCATCTTTCAAACAGATGGGCTTCAGACGTACATGAAAGAGCCACGAGATGTGAGAACGGTGAACCCAGGACTACCATTGCAAAGCACACTAGTAGTGGAATAGCCGTAGGCCCTGCCACAACAGCAAGGTGTGAAGAAGACGAACTTGGGAAATAGATGAAAAGGAAAATTGCATCCAGTAAATTACTCACCGACAAGCACTAGATTACCCACAGGAATGCGGAAAGGCCTGTAGGCATCTGGCTCTGTGAATCTCAGGTAAATAAGAGCTGAAAACTTCAATGCTGAGGAGATGCAGTACAACACCATATCCGCCTGCCACTCAGCAATGCAAACAAATGTAATCAAGGTTATGTCCATGAATTGCAGGAGAACCGTATTTCGAATGCTCACCTCAGCAAGAAGTGTAAACTTGGACCCGGACAGCAGAAGAGTGCAGAAAGCAGTGATAACAAGGGCTACCCAAGGAGTTCCATGTTTCCCTTCAACAGATTGAAAGAACTGGGGTGCCTGCAAAACAAGTGTGAGAAGGCTGCAGAACACCAGAAAAGAATGACACTAAATTACCTTATGTGCCACCGCCATTCCATAGACAAGCCTCGAGCTCATACATAGACGAGTTAAGAGAAGACCAAAGGCGCTGGCAACTCCTCCAAGTCCCAGCCAAATCTGCCGCACAATAAATAAATCCATTGTTCATGCTGAAACAAGCCACTACCGCCCATTACCTCTAACGGACGGCCTCCAACACGTGCAGCTATGTCCGTAAAAGTGCCGCCTTTCCACAGCTCGAAGTATGGCGCCACACTCAAGCCAACTAAGGCTGGAACTATGTAGGTAACAAGCATCAGTCCCACAGAAACCAGCAACGCCAGAGGATACGACCTTCCTGGATCTTTCACTTCACCAGCACAAGCTCCAGCGGAATCAAACCTGCACATACAAACGCTTAGACCTTTTATTCGTGCTAAGGACGCTGAACAAAACAACCTTGCTTACCCTGAAGTGTTCCAAAGAAGCACAGAGAGTAGCTTCGGCCAATTCAAAGGCTTGGGTGTTGGAAAGCTGATCCATTGCAGATTCAGCTGGGGAATGGCGAAGAAGAACATCGCAACGAAAGGAGCAATGACAGACACCCCAAAAACCATCGATGCTTTCCCTGCCAAAACAGTTTGTGAGACCGAGGATTCTCATGTTCCTTGTGAAACATTCTAAAAGGAATTACGCACCTACTATGTCGACTCCGCTCAAGTTGAGTGCTGTCGTGACGGCGATCATTGTCGCCTTCAGAATGAGCGAATATGGCATGGGAATTGCTCCAAAAGGACCATATATGATGTGGCTCAGATAGTCAACGAAGAGGGCTGGATACAGCGCGTTGTCAAACACCCCGCATCCAAACGTCAATACACTGTTGAATAAAGACCAGAATGGTCCAAACGCATGATACACCCATAAAATGTGTCCTCCGCTCTGAGGAATCATGCAAGCCAGTTCTCCAGTCATCAGTGCCAACGGCGCGGACCAAACAAAGGGAATAAGAAGTAGCATCCCCAGCCCTACAAGGCCACCTGAGGCTCCAATTACGTCCTCGAAGCCGTATGGACCCTGAAAACAAGGGTATCAGGAGAAAAGTCTGCACCTACTGAGCTTTTTGCCGTTGTCAAGAATTCCTTACCCCTGTCACCGTGAAGAATAATATGGAAACCAACTGGACAGTTGAGAGTAACGAATCAGAGCTGCTTCGCCGAGAGGTTGCACCTCCATTACTCCAACGTTCACCTTTTCCAAATTTAGCGTTTTCACCCGCAGACTCCGGGATTAGCTTCGACTTATGCTCGCTGTCAGGATCCATTTCTAAGGGAACCATTTGACCACCAAGGATGACGAGAATCTAGCACGCCTAAGCGCCACACTTCACAAAAAAACACAGAGACCTTTCCAAGCCTCGGTGAGGATGAGATAATGGTACGTTCTGAAATCGCGAAACCTTAACATTCAAGCCTCCTGTTTATCACCATGAACCGGTACCTCTGACAAGCGAAGACACTGAACTGAAAATTCCAGAGGTGTATGGACTGAGTTGTGGAGGCATGTGAGCTGAGTTCCTGAGGTACTATCTGGACCAAGTGCCTGACAAAAGATGTCACATGCATGTGTCCGACAACAAGCCGTCAGCTGATCACAGGCTGCAAACTTGCGTGCCTCCATTTGGCCCCAAACAAAAGTGAGAAAGATTCCATCTCGGGCTGTGTTCAGAGTGTAAGATGACGTACAAGGTTCATCCCCACACAGCCTCGAGACGTTTCTTTCTCGGAGAATGTGTTTGCCTGCAGGCAATTGGTTTTGCACGAATCAAGTTCGCTCCACAGTGCACGATAAATCTCGAAACCTGATGCATGAACGCGTTTCACTAGCAATCCACCTGGGAGTCGCAATGCAGCTCAACACATCCCCGTCACCCCAATTGAAACTGCGCAGCGCGAAAACTGGTAACTCACTAGCTGCGACAAATCCCGTCTCGGCAACGTCCAAGCCAATCCTTTCAATTCCTCCAGACCGATCCATGATCAATGAGGGTGAATAGAAGCAGTAACCATAAAATTAGTCATTCATTCAATCATTGTTTGTCGAGTTATGGCGACAAACGCGGCAGCCGACGACTGGCTGTCATCCCAGCTGGCCAGCGACGGTCGCAGGGAGGCGGAGGTTCTCTCCCGCGCGTGGTTCCAGCTCCGACTCTCCATTCGCGCTCCCAATCGCTTCCCTCCGTGGGACGCGCTGCTGATCACCGCCGCGAGCGACGCGCAGGCTGACCTGTATTCCAGGTACACGACTACCATGAATACCGCGACTGTTACGCCTATTCCGACTAATGCGACAATCATTCCACACCCTCGATTCGTTCATTGGAGTCAAATGACACGTATACATGCATGGCGGCTTTTAGTAACCACTCTTTTCGTACGTTACATCGTTCACTGCCTCGCTCCCCAATGTCACCCGTCTCGCGGACAATGTGGGAGTCTGGCAGTCAAGTTCTTTTCAGCATGCTCGATCCCCACCACCATTTATAGTCTGGAGTCGTTGAATCAATCTAGCTCTCAACGTTGGTACGACGAGCCACGATAAAAACAAAACGACCACCCCGCTGCTGCATTCTTCCCTGGTATCTGCCTGATTTCGACCATTGAGGCGCCTCAAAACTCATTCCAGCTTCCACACTCGGTCAATAAACCACCCAGTAGTATCGGCGTACTTTCGTCGCTTTCTCTCTTGCCTCTGCACCGGCCCACCCGTCATCCAGGCAGCTGGCAGCAGCTCGCGACAATGCGCACATTGCGGAGAAGAAGGCGGTCGTCTGTGGAGCAAGCAGAAGTAGGTCAGTTAGATTGAATCAATGTCCTTCCCTTCCCTGCCATTCCCACCTTCGTCGTCCCTCATCCAGGCAGCTGGCAACAGCACGGCAAATGGTCACATCACAGCAAAGACCACCTTTCTGCTGGCTGGCAATCATATTTGCCTTATCTCGCCATCATTTCATTATGATCTTCCTTTCACCTGTCTCCCTCCTACCAGGCAGCTCGCAGCAGCGCGGCACAATGGGCACATTGCAGCGGAGACCATCGTGCTGGCAGTGCCGGACAGGGAAGGGAAGCGGATCGGATCTGGCGGAGCGACCCTGGGAGCTATCCGGGCATTGCGGGATTATCTGGGGGAGGTGAGACCTGCCTTGGATGGATCCTTGCATGTGGTGGGGGAAGGGAGGGGGGAGGGTGGGTGGTGTGGGGAAGGTGTGTGGGAGACCATTGTGCTGGGACTGCCAGACAGGGAGGGCAAGCGGATCGGATCCGGAGGAGCAACCCTGGGGGCTATCCGGGCCCTGAGGGATTACCTGGGGGAGGTGAGAACCAGCCTTGGGACCCCCCCCTCCATGTGGTGAGGGAAGGGAAGGTGGGGGATGGTTGGTTTGGAGTAAGGAGACCATAGTGCTGGCACTGCCAGACAGGGAGGGCATGAAGATTGGGTCTGGAGGAGCGACAGTAGGGGCGATTTGAACGTTGAGGGATTACCTGGGCTCTTCTCCCTTATGTCCCAATCAACCTCTGCCCGTCTCTTATCAATAAAGGTGCTGCTAGTGCATCCAGGGGTCAATATAATCCTCTGCTCCCTCCCCCTCCATCCCCTTTCTCTCCTCCTCTCCTTCCAGGCACCATCTCCCATCAAAGAAGGTGCTACTAGTGCTGCAGGGGGCCACAGCTAGCGCCTGCCATGGGTCAACACCCCCCCTTCCCTCTCCCTCTCCTTCTTTCCCTCTCCCTGATTCCCTCCCCCCTTGCCCCCAGTTGTCCATGTCCCAGTCCGCCTCTACCCGTTTCCCATCAATGAAGGTGCTGCTAGTGCACACAGGGGGCGACAGCAGGCGCCTGCCATGCCATGGGCCAACCCGTGTGGCTGGCAAGCCCTTTGTGCCCTTCCCTCTTCCTCCGTGCCCCACCGTCTCCCTCCGTGCCCCATTGCCCCCTGTCTTCCAGGCATCATCTGCCCGTCTCCCATCAATGAAGGTGCTCCTAGTCCATGCAGGGGGCGACAGCAAGCGACTGCCATGGGCTAATCCGTGTGGCAAGCCCTTTGTGCCCTCCCCGCTGCTGGCTGGGGACGACCCTGACGGACCTCCATTGACGCTCTTTGACCACATCCTCGCCATCTCAGCCATGGCGCTGCAGGCTTTGCCTTCCAATGGTACGCTACACAGGGGGTTTTGGCGGTTCAAAGGTGCCTTGGGCATCTTATCTGCAAGCCCTCCAAGGTGCCCTTTGTGCCCTTCCCGCTGCTGGCTGGGGATGACCCTGACGGACCTCCATTGACTCTCTTTGACCACATCCTCGCCGCCTCTGCTCTCGCGCTTCAGGCTTTGCCTTCCAATGGTAAGCTGCACTGGGGTTAGGCGGTATGAACTTGGCTTGTGTCTCTTATCAGAAAGCCCTTTGTGCTCTTCGCACTTCTGGCTGGAAATGACCCTGACGGACCCCCCTTGACTCTCTTTGACCACATTCTTGCAGTTTCAGCTCTGGCACTCCATGCCCTGCCCTCTGATGGTAGGCTGCACAGTTTTTTTGGGGGTTTTGGGGGTTTGGCGGTTTGGAGGGGGGTTGGATATCTTATCAGCAAGCCATTCTGCAAGCCCTTTGTGTGCCCTTCCCCCTGCTGGCTGGGGACAATAATGACGGGCCCCCCTTCACTCTCTTTGACCACATTCTTGCCGTCTCCGCTCTGGCGCTTCAGACGTGTGTTGTGCAAGGAAGGGTGCTCTGAATGACGGGCGATTTGCTGCCATGCTTCAACGCATCTTACATCCCCTGCGTCAATAAACTCTTACCCATATACGCGCCGCCTTACCCCTCCCATTGTCCCCTCGCTTCTATCTTCCAGAGGGAGCGCTCTTCATAATGACGGGCGACGTGCTGCCATGCTTCAACGCATCTCGCATCTGCCTGCCCTCCCACGGGGCTCTCGTCGTCACTGCTGCTGTGCCCCTCGACGTTGCCTCCAGGCATGGGGTCATTCTTGCTTCGGACCAGACCAGAAACGTTCCTTCGGACCAGACCAGAAACGTTCCTTCGGACCAGACCAGACACGTTCCTTCGGACCAGACCAGACACGTTCCTTCGGACCAGACCAGACACGTTCCTTCAGACCAGACCAGAGATGTTGCTGTGGACCAAGCATTGTTGCAGCAGCAGCAACAGCAGCTGGAGCAGCAACAGCAGCAGCAGCAGCAGCGTGAGAAGCAGCAGCAGCATGAGAAGCAATGCCGCACGGAATCTCCCGAGCTAGTAGCCGACCTTTTACAGAAGCCGAGTGTGGGTGGTGGAGCGAGGGGCACTGTGCCGCACGGGGGGAGCACTGCTAGACACCGGGATCTACGCTGTGTGTGGTGACACGTGGCGTGATCTGATTGGCCTGGCGATCAGCAAGGAGGACTTGCTAGCAGAGCTGCTGGCGTCAGGCGAAGAGGTGGGTGGGTGGGAGGAGGCTGAGTGGAGTGAGGGGTTTAGGTGAGATGAAAGACAAGTTTTTAGGCGCCTTAAAGGCGGACTTGCCAGCAGAGCTGCTGGCGTCAGGCGAAGAGGTGGGTGGGTGGGTGGGTGGGAGGAGGTTGAGTGGATTGAGGGGTTGACGGGAGTCAGGTGGAGTGGAAGTGTGATGGAAGACGACTTTTGAGGGGTCTAGCCTTAAAGGAGGACTTGCTAGCAGAGCTGCTGGCGTCGGGCGAAGAGGTGAGTGGGTGGAAGGAGGTTGAGGAGCAAGTGGGGGAGGTGGCAAGTGGGAAAGGTGGCATGCGACAACGATGGCAAGCTGAAGGTGACATGTGATGACAAATGTTGAAGGCGACATGTGATGACAAATGTTGAAGGCGACATGTGATGATGGTAGGGGTTGCTGTGATAAGAGTATACAGAGGTGTGGTGCTTATGGGTGCTGGCAGTGTCACGCACGCCAGA